CTCCCCCGCGGCCCTCTCTCTCTCTCTCTCTCTCTCTCTCTGTGTGTGTGTGTGTGTGTGTGTGTGTGTGTCGCTGTGTTGGGGGGGGAACACCCACACTCATGCACGCACGTGCACGAATGCACACCACCACCCAGCACCGCGCACACAAACACCCGCACACGCACGCACGAACGTAGACGCAGTGCGGGTACTGTTCAGGAGGGCGGCGGTAGGCCTACTGGGAGGGCGGCGATACGGCCTGCAGGTACCGGGGCTCGGTCCCACCTGCGCCTTTCCGTTGTAGGAGGCTACCACGAAGAGACTGGCGGGCGTCCAGGGACCATCGGTTGTGTCTATCCATGGGGCCTCGTTCCACACCACTCGAAACTCAAGGGTTTCTTGCCCAACACCGTTCCACGGTGCCCTTGAGTTTCGCTAATCACGGCCATGCCGTTATTAGGTTTTCGGTTTTAGCAAAAGGGCCGGAAAAGCTCAAGGGCAGCTCAAGTGCGGCCCAGGCAAACCTAGGGTGTCGTTCCACACCACTCGAAACTCAAGGGTTTCTTGCCCAACAGTGCCCTTGAGTTTCGCTAATTACGTCTTCGGGTTTAGCAATGGGCGGGAAAAGCTCAAGGGCGGCTCAAGCGCGGCCCAGGCAAACCTACCCCTTTTTCAAGTCACCTCTATGGGCACACTTGAGCTGCACTTGAAAACAGCAACTTGTAGAACCCCCGCTAGTGGGGTTTTTTTTCCGTTTATTCTCCTTTTTCTACCACGGTTGAACCTCTGCAACTTGTTGCGGCACCATTCCCACTCATTTCAAGGGCGGACTCGAGGGTTGAGTGGAACGAAACCTGACTCAGGTATTTTTTAATCACGATTGGAACTCGAGTGTGCACTCGAGTTTCAAGCAAAGTGAAGTGGTGTGTAACGAGGCCCATGGTCCTTAAGCGGCTGCCATGCTCTTCGAAAAACGGGTTCCGAGAAATCGCCGCTAAATTTTGGAATAGAAGGTACCCTCGAATACAAGGTACGTACCTTGTATTTGAGGTGTGCCTCTCTCTCTCTCTCTCTCTCTCTCTCTCTCTCTCTCTCT